AATAACGTCTATTCGTCCGCATTTTCTTATAAATCATTTCAATAGAAATTTAAATGTACAGGCCTGAAGAGGATTTATCGAGAGCAAACATATGTTCGCCAAATTGTCTTTTTAATTCTTTAATGGGAATTTTCGCAACCCTAGAGCGTATGAATCATCGCGTTCCTGACTCGGGGATATAGCCAGAAAAATGAGCTCTTTTGAAAGTGAGTAGGAGACGTGAATTGTTTATATTATCAGGGGTTACATCGAAAGCCTCGGAAAGGACGGAAATATATCTATGGAAAAAGCCTTTCTGACTGACGTCCATCCCATTGGCCACATGTTGTTTTATAAACTAATAAAGTTTGTGCTACTGATATAGTTGCGAGTAGTACAAATTGATGAGAAAAATACATGCATGTAAATCTAATTTTGACTGCACATCTGCGTCATGTTTGCAGTCTGTACTTTTTTCAACAATATAGTTGCTGGACCAAACAAGGAGGATCTAATAGTCTATTGGTTCTGGAAACAAAAAAATTTCGTCCTGCATTTTCTTGGCAAAAGTTGCCATAAAATAGTAAGGAGATTTTCAAGAAAAACTAATAATACTAATTTTAATTAGAATGAAAGAAATAAGGCAGGAGGAACGGACGGAATCCATCGGTAGATCTGAAAAGTAACCATTTAGGTTGCCCATGCGATTATGCTGTTGGGGAGAATCCTCTGTTTCCAGAACAGATGCTGGTAAAATACAGCCATAGTAAAGTTTTAAAGTAAGCAATTAAATAAGATTATGATGGTGAACTCAACTTGCGCAAAATAGCACCGAAATCCCATCTCAATCTGATAAAATATCAGGTTGAAGAAAACCCATACAATACATGTTGGTTTAGAATAATAAAATGGGGTTTTTACGACAAATTGGGCAAAAAGGAGAGAGAAGACGGGTCCGATTTGGGGGGAGGGGCGATCCTCAAAAAGAAATATGTATTCTCAGGAAAATAAGTGGTCTTGCGAAAATAGGGAAGAAATAACCAGTGGAAATGCCATTTTTGGAAGCAAAGGATGATTTCTACAGTCTAAACTTCCTCGGCCAATTTATCTTTGTTTTCCATAGGTCTACCACATTTGCTGAAGCAGGACTTGCAGACCAACTTTGGTTTTACCATACTTTGTCAGACTCCGTCCTTTATCCAACATTTTCTAAATACACAACATCATCGTTCTTCATCTTGTGCACATACAATATAGTTTAACAGATAATCATTTTGAACATACAGATCATGCTCCAGCCAATAAGACTACCGTTTGAGCGAATCCTTGGGGAATACAAACAGATAATACACATAACCATTAATCTGTTCCACTCCTTGGAGAAGGAGTCACGGCCCTATGGAAACAGACTATCAACCCTCAACCACGTTCGCCATTCCCGCATTATTCATGGTCTGAACTGTTTATCTGTCCACAACGACTTCTCCCTCCCGAATAACACGCCTACTTTGCGCAGTCATCCCCTAAAACGACGCACAGGAAAAGCTAGGATTGATGGACGCAAGTTTTTCTTCAGTACAATAGTGGTTGGAGCGTAAAACGCTCTGTCCGCTGATGTTGTCCTCTCCTCAAGTGGGGGTTTATTTAAGGCCAAACCGGACACGCATCAGGCTTCTTGCTTACCAGCCACATTCACATCCGTACCCTCAACAATGCATCCTTTAAATTACACAAGAGCATGCTACTTACAATAATTAAGTACAAGTTAATATTCACTATTTGATGCCCGTAGAGTTACTTGTGGCGCGCAACTGTGTAATCTCCTTTTCGATGTTGTCTTATGCATCGGTGCATTTTTTTCGATATTTTTGTAACCAGTAAGGAGTTTAAAGGCATATACCTACCCTTCCATCAGTAGAACCAAACTCAAAAGCGAAATCGAACCAAACTGATTCTCTCATTTTGAAATTCAGGAAGACGATGCTGAGAATAGGCAGCACTTTGGACACACGGAGAGATGGTCTACTGGTACTAAATTCGGTAGCGTCATTTGTACAGATCCGTAGCCAGCATGGCAGCGCACTGGGATGAGGGGGCAAGTTACCGTCGACAGTATTAATGCGGAGCAGCTTGACTACTAGGGACGACTTAAGCGGGGTAGCTTTTATCGGGGCGGAAACTTCAGGGGAAGGGAATGAGACTAACATCTTTAGCTCCTACCGACAATCAGCTGTGCGTTTATTTACCCAAACTCACGTTTTTCTGCGCAGCTGTCAAGAAAAAAATTAAGGACTACAGGACAAAATCGTCCCACTGCACCCAGTAAGAAACCAACAGTCCGTCTCTAGTCCTCGCCAACTTCGGAGAACGCAGACATGTCAAGATTCGCAATCGCAGCTATGCCAACACTACCAACTGAATGGGGAACGGACATTTTTCTAAGAAGGCAAGGGGAACTCTCATAGGTGCAAACAAATAGAAACTCTGGCGTTGCTGAAGCCCTAAATAGTTGCATATTATAGCTAGGAGAGATAGGGTCAATTGCTAAGTCGGCCTGAGACGTTCTGCTCGTATGTGGGCCGACTAACCGGAGTCTATTTTACATACTCGACCATCTTTGAGAACAGATTACCTGTAGTTTGCTCATACACAGCGTAACATTTATCATATCGTGCTTCTGTTTCAACAGACAGACTCCGACTTTCAAATTTCATGATTTCAAATACCTCACAGACTTCTACTTCCGTGAATTAGTCGTTTCTGGCAAGTTCTCATACTGTAAAAAGTAGGTAACAGTCGCAAAGCGGACTGCTGATGTTCAAATGTGAACCAAAATTCATCACAGGACAGGGCGTCCGCCATCCAGAGGTGCACATCCACCGGACTGACCAATCACCTTGCTAGCTCGCTTCTCCTGTAACCGCCAATCAGTTACTTCTCGTTTTATGTGCTCCTCGCTCCAGCGCGTTTACCTTTGCCACCGAAATGTTTACCAACGACGGCTTCTATCTGGAGCCCAGGCAGCATGAAGATCTCTCATTCTCCAAAATCTCGGACGAACAGGGGGGTGATTTAAGAGGCTGCCCGGTCAGAAGTGAGCAGTTGCCGCATGGGACGTACCAGTGCCTCCACAGTGATCCCACTGATTACCCACCAGCGGCCACCCAACCGACGTCCCTTCTGCCGGTCTACATGCCCACCGGAGACGCAGCAGTCCTGCCAACGTCTACGCCCTATCCCACCGACTGGAACTTCGACAAGGCGGTGGGCGGATCCTGCACAAATGTGCCCCGGACTTGGAGCCAGACTGGTGCCGTCTGCTCCGACTGCGTCGGAAGCAGTAACCATGACTACCTGTCAACAGACATGACTCAGGGCTGCGGCTACCTTCGGGGATTTCTGGACTATTCCCGTCATTCTACTCCCGACCAGGTCACGTGGCCTGACCTGTCACAGGTTCCATTCCAACCATCTCCGGCACTGCTACAACAACAACAGCAGCAACAGTTAGTCGGCAATGCGGACACAGTAGTTCTCCCGCAGGGACCCAGCAAGCCCTCCACGGGCACACGAACGGGCAAAACGGCCTTCCCCTTCACCGTGGGCGGCAGTGAGCTCATGCTCTGCCCGGGGTTCCCTCAGGCCTGTGTGGGAGAATACCAGGGTGATGCGGAGACTAAGCCGCCCTTCTCTTACATCACACTCATTGCCTCAGCTATAATGTCGGCCAAGGACCAGCGAGCCACTCTGAGTGAGATTTACGCCTGGATTATGCTGCATTTTGCCTACTACCGTCGAAATATCCGTCGGTGAGTTGTGTTCACGCTGCTTTGTTTATCCGAACCGGTGCGGCACCTTTTTAGTTCTGCAACCGCAAATGTGCATACCGATAAAGTTCGCTGAGGTAAAATAAAACAGATGGTGCTACTGAGTGGAAATCAGCCTGTTTTAGCTTAGCGGCTCTATCAAGAGCTGATGGTCAGTCCGGCTTGAATATTGATTCATCGGGTCTTCAATGTCGGAGTTTTGGAAGCTGAAAGGACAGTCAGGTCATTCGAATGACCATTAGGTCTATTTCTCCTGCAACAGGGAACCGGAGACACCTCAACTGAAGTCTGCCCACCAGAGTTTCAGTTCTATTGGAGAGCGTTTACGCTGAAAAGCTCACAAACATACTCTAAGCCTTATTCTTGAGTGTGGGCGCCTTTGAGTGGACGGAATTGCTAGGTTGAAGTGGCGTTTTCAGGAGACCCGCTTTCAAACTAATTCCAACTTGCTTTCCTGCGTTATTACAGTGAGTGACCAATCACATGAAATGTTGGCTGAAATTCTGAAATGCGTTTTCAATTAGGAAGGATTACTTGGGCGCGGTTGTAATACCGACTATCTTGCGGCATAATTCTATAATATTTCGGACTTGGCAGGATGTCAGCTTTTGAATACACTGCTTTTCAATCTCCTCTAGAAACCGTATTCGGTAAAAATGACTACTTAAGCAGCATGCGTTTTTCCCATTGATTTTCCATGGCCTTGCAAATTCAAATATATCTTATAGAAACCACAAACAAGGTTATGCTTTCTTTTAGTCAATCAATAGAGAGTCACGTCGTCTTTATATTTTATACTTAAGGAAGGAGTATAGTAAGGTTTTAGAAAAGTTTTCAAATTGCCGAATAATATGGGGCCTGATCATTCGTTGCATTAGCGCTTAGTGATTTCAGTCTACAAGGTGCATGCGTTCCGCGGAAAGAAAATCACATGTTTTTCTATGCCATTAAAAAGATATTATACAGAGTCCATGAAATTTTGCAATGGATGCGGCCTATGTTGCACATTTCATGAGGAGCAGTGGTAAACGGTCAGGTACGATGCTATGTGAATGGACATTGCGCGGTCTTAAAAAATCTCATAATTAGGAACATTTTCAAAACCTAATTATACCCCTTCCTTGAGCATATAATATAAAGAAGACGTGAGTCCTTATTAATTGACTTAAAAAAATTATATTTTTGTTTACGGCTTCTTCAAAATAAATTTGAATTTGCAAGACCATCGAAAGTCAATGGGAATGATGAATGCAGCGTAAGTAGTTATTCTTTACCGAGTACGACTGAAAAGCAGTGTATTCAAAAGACGACATCCTACCGAGTCCGAAACGTGATAAGAATATGCCGCAAGATAATCAGTATAATAAACGCGACCAAGTAATCCTTCCTAGTCGAAAACACATTTCAGAATTTCAGCCAACATTTCATGAGATCGGTCACTAACTTTACGTTAATATTTTACAGCAAAATGGCATCTTCGCTAGTATTTACTTGCTTGAAAAGTGGGCCTCATGTTTTACTGTTCATAACTATCCGTCAAGAAATTTCGCACCTGTCTTAAACACCAGAAAAACCTCAGATGTTCCATCAGTTCTTGAGAAGGGATTGACAATTTCAGGTCCTCGTAGAAATTCCGTCTACGCCGTGTGTAGCTTTTCTGAAACTTTACCTCAATTATCTTTCAGCAGTATGAGCAGAAAATATTGATAGCATGTACTGGCGCAGATCAGAATCGCATTGTATGCTTCTAAGGAATGACCAAAAAACGTTGGGAGATTCCGTACAATCAAGAAGCGTTCTAAGGCCATCAGAATTCTTTCCATTGAGCAGAATCCACAAAAAGAGTGCGATATCCCGTGAAATAATTGCAAAAGATTACTTCTTGTGAATTCTTTCTGGGAGCATGATTGACTTTGTGAAAGCCGTGCAGAGTGATGAAGCGATCTGGGCCATTTGGGTAAATATTTTTCTTCCAAAAGTCGTGGTGACGATTCTTTAAACCAGAGAGGGACAAGTTATCGCGTATGATTTAGATGGGGATTAGATTCCGTGCCAGTCCTCCCTGCAACGTCACACACGTAGAGTTTTCAACCGAGGCGGAGTATTTAAAAAATGCAGAAGACTTTTCCTGTTGTTACGAACGGCCGCGTCCATCGCGTACTCCACGGAGCGGGTGCAGCAGCGGTGACGTGCGAACGAACTAGTTTACAGCTTGGCAGACTTGCACAGCATCTATTGCACTCATACACCACTCACCTGGACCCGGTGCCAGGAAAGATCCAAGAGCATCGGAGGCGGGGTCGGACACGATGGCTGACAGAGCCAAACAACCCGTCTACGCGTGCCACACACACTCGGATGAAATCCCTAAAATACGGCAGTTCGACCGTGGCAAGCGATGTCATCCACCGTGTGCCCCACGGAATGCGCGCAACACCAATAACTTGTATGTGAATTATGCTATAATGAGGGAGATTTGCACGATGTCTACGACAGTCCAGCCTCCATCACCCCCTTCCACTGATGGCAGACAATGTCAAAACGACCGCAGATGGGCTCGGGCCCGGCTAAACAGTCCAATTTTTTATTATTGAGTAATGTGTTGATGCGTCGTGGCGATGGATTCCCCAGCGATAATCTCTCCCACGCAGCGGTCGGTTGCGCTGGCTGAACACCTACTGTAAGACCAAAATGCGGTCAGAAAGCGCGACTGCCCTAAACCATGTTAATGAGACAGAATATATGAGGACCGTCTATGCAGGAAATGAGTAAGAACGAAATTTTAGGGTCCATTCTGTCTTTTTTTATTCCTGCTCGTTTCTGCTTATTGCATATTGTTGCATAAGAGAAGGAGGGAAACGTTTTTCATACAGCACCCGAAGAGGGCTTTGAAAGACCGTATACAACCAGTTGCTGCTGATGCCACTTAGTTAGGGCACCTACAGTCAGCGACCAATCAAAATCCTGAAATGCGTTCCCGACCAGAATAAATTACTCAGGCGCGGTGGTAACACTGATCAATGTGCATTACAGGGGCAGGACACTTCGGTGAAGCCAGGATGTCGATTTTTAATGATACATTTCGCCCATCGCATGCACAAACCCCACTTGATAAGAAATGACTGCTTACTTAGTATGTATTTTCGCACTGATTTCCATGCTCTTATAAAGTGAAATACGTCTTATAGAGAACATATTCAAAATTGTGCAATGATTTACCGTACTGACAACACAGGTATTAGCTAAAAGCCCAGACACGCGTGTTTCGCCGATCTTGTGCCGCTGCCTGACGCAGCTGCGAGGGGTTCGGCTCGTCAGTGGGTCCCCCAGCTTTCCCCGTGTGTTTTCTGGTATGTGAACTCCAGTTTCAACTTGCCTTGTTAAATTTCCGAGGAAATTAATGCGCGAACCTGAAGTAAATCTTTCGAAACGGGCCTTTTCAAGCTTCCGATTTGAAAAGATCACTTAAGGAGGGCTGAAGATTAATTTTATTGTCGCACAAAATTGCAGTCACAAGAGGATACCGGCTTTTGACGTAACCTCTTTTAGGCCATCTGCGAAAACTATACTTCGAAAATAATGATCACTTGTGTAGTATACAATTTTCTCTTTGATTCTCAAAGTCCTTATAAATTCAATTACAATGTATAAAGAGCGTGCAGCGGAATGTGCTTTCGTGCTCATTTAGTAGCTAATTACGTCATTTCAAAATTTGTACTTCAATAAAGGGTGCCTTTTGGCTATAAAAACGTTTCGTACTATGAGATTTTTTTGAAGACCGTGAAACGTCTATCCATAGAGCATCCCATCAACATGTTTACTGATGCTACTTATACGGTAAACAACCTGGTCTACATCCATTGCACATTTTTACAAATGCTATATGACATCTTCCTAGCAACATAAAGAAATGCGTGCTATCCCTTTAATGGCAGAAGAGCGTAGGATTTTCTATACACGAAGAGTGTACAACTTATAAAGTGGAAGGGGAAGGTCAGTACACCCGTTAGTAGCCTAGGGGCCAGTAAACCACGACTCAAGAAGTTCGCGACTCACGTGATTGTCACTCCCAGCGAAAATTTCGACCTCGTTAAATTTAAATGTGTGACTGGATCTCATAGAATGAGTCGCAGATTGAGAGCTAGCGTCATTTCTCCGTACTGCTGCCGCGTGTTCGCTATTCGCATTCGGAATAGTCTTTCAGTCTCTTCGACGTGGGCGCTTTGTGCGCAACTGCACCAGGTTTAAAAAAATCATAATTATAAACTTCAAAAGACGATCTGGCGAGCTTGCGTAAGCATTCGACAAATTCTCATCAGGCCTATACATTAATATTACTATCGAAATGACTAAAAGCAAAATACGGGCAAGCGGAAAAATAGTTTCGATACAGTTTTGTATGAGCTGTATTTCAGTTTATAAGAGCATGGCAAATCAGTGCGAAAATGCATACTAACTAAGCAGTCATTTCTTATCAAGTGTGATTTGTACAGGTGGTCGGTAAAGAGCACATTTAAAAGCCCACATCATGGAATGACTGAAATATCTTGAGCTTGTTTTGCTCGCTAATCAATATTACCATCACACCTAAGTAAGAGTTCTTAATTGAAAATGCGGTTCAGAAACTCGACAAACATTTCAGGGGAGCACGCTTCCCCAGGAATTGGACTTCCTTGTGACGTAAATGTGGACAGACAGTGGACCAGCTGACAAGTTGGACTGGTTTTTTAATACAAAATTAAAGTCTACTCCTCAGCATTGTCCACCTGGAGAGGGGCGTTTTAGTAAAAACAAAATCTGCCATTTGGCAGGTGTACAACAAAGGGGGGAAATATCCACGCGGCGATCTAAACGCTTTTAGCCCAGTGAGCACAGCTTCGTGCTTAAAAGAAATGAAGAGGCAGGCTCACCACAAGTAACATGCGTAATCGGTCCCAACTGGTTGAGTTTTTTTTTAACGTGCACAGTTGCACATGAAGGATGATGGTGGACTTGTTGTCATAGCTTCGAAGGGAGACGGAGGGAACATTTCATAGCTGGAAACTTTTGGATATTTTTAAGCACTCCCAGATCGTATGACGTTTGCCTGGTGTCCACGACAAGATGGGCTAAATGGGTACAGACGATTGGTAGGTAGTACAGCAGATTGCATGAAATGTTAACCAAAATTCTGGAATATGTTCTTGATTTGAAGAGATTACTCATATAGGGTTGCGCTACGAATCATCCAACAGCCTAATCGCAAGAAATTTCAGCCGCAGCATGATGCCGGCTCTTAAATGACTCTCTCTTTGGCCATCTGCGAAAACTACACTCTTTAATAAGTAACTACTTATGTAGTATGACATTTTCCCATTGATTTTCAATGTCTTTATAAATTCAACTATTTTTTATAAAAAACTTGTACACTTGTTCACTTAGGGTTTCCAAACTACAGGCCGAATACATTCCTTCGAAGGAATAGCACACATTTCTTTATGTTGCTAGGAAGATGTCATATAGCATTAGTAAAAATGTGCTCTATGGATAGAGGTTTCACGGTCTGCAAAAAATCTCATAGTAAGAGTTTTTTTAAAAGCCAAAATGAACTCTTTATTTGAGAATAAGTTTTGAAAAGGGCGTTGTTAGCTGCTAAATGAGCACAAAAGCACATTTTGTTGCACTTTCTCTTCGCTCATCTGCGAACACTTCACTGCTTAAAAATTAACTACTTAAATGGTATGAAATGTTCCCCTTTATTTTCGATGTCCTTATAAATTCGACTATATTTTATGGAAACCTTGTACAAAAAATAGTTTTTCTTGTAATCATTTATTAGAAAAGAACGTCTTCTTTAAAATTTTGCACTTGGAGAGAGAGAGAGTATCTTTTGGTTTTTACCAGCTTTTCCAGTTTGTGGCACACTTGCCGATACACGTTCACTTAGGGTTTCCAAACTATATGCTGTATACATTTCTTCAAAGGAATAGCACACAGTTCTTTATGTTGCTAGGAAGATGTCATATAGCATTCGTGAAAATGTGCAATGGATGTAGATCAGGTTGTTTACTGTATAAGTAGCAGCAGTAAACATGCTGATGGGATGCTCTATGGGTAGACGTTTTAGGGTCTTCAAAAAATCTCATAGTAAGAAAAGTTTTTAAAACCAAAATGCGTCCTTTATTGGAGTAAAAATTTTGAAAATGGCATAATTAACTACTGAACGATCACAAAAGTACACCGTGTTGTACGCTTTCCATACACTGTAATTGCATTTATAAGGACTTTGAGAATCAATGAGAAAATTGTGTACTACATAAGTAGTCATTTTTTCGAAGTATAGTTTTTGCAGATGGGGTAAAAGAGGTTAATTCAAAGGCCGGTATCCTGCTGTGACGCAATCTTACGCGGCAATATATGAAATATTGCAACCCTACCTAAGTGATCTTTTCAAATCGGAAGCACATTTCAGAATTTCGGCCAACATTTCATGAGGGTCTGCTTTGGAAATGTCTATTACTCGGCATGCGATCTTAGGCAGGTATTCAGTTTAAGAAAATTATAAGTAAAGTACGGGACAGTCACCTGGGACGAATGTTTATTGGAAGGATGCAGGTACAAACGTATATAATTAGATTAGTGAAACACTCCAGGGTACCCAACGGAAGGAGTTGTATAATTTAGAATAAATGTACAGTAGTGGTCTAACTCATGAAATGTCAACAGAAATTCCGAAAGGCGTTTTCGTTTCAAAAAGATTAATTAAGTAGAGTCGTTAAACATATCATCGTGAAGCATAATTTTAAAATATTTCAGTTACTGCAGGATGCCGGCCTTCGAACAATCTCTATTCCAGCTGCATTCAAGGACCATACTCCGTAAAAAATGATTACTTAAGTAGCATGGATTTTTTTTCATTGATTTTCGATTCCTTTAAAGAGTAAATTATATTTCATGGAAAACACGCATATAAATATTCATTGTTTTTCTCATTCAGTAGAAAGTTATGTCTTCTTTCGAAGGAAGGGTATAATTCGGCTTTTAAAAAGTTTATAATTTTAAGATTTTTTGATACCGTGAAATGGCCCTTCTTAAAACGCCATGTCTCTGCATTTACCAATGTGGTTTGTAAAATTAATAATGTGGCTCAAATCTACCACTTAATTTTATGAACTCAATATGGTCTCCTCTTAATACCGTAGAGAAATGTATGGTTTTCCATACGCGGAAATCTTGCAGCTTGGGAACCCTGAATGCAAGCGCAACGGCAGGTCTGGTTCAAAATTATTCGGGAATTGTAAAAGTTTTATAAAACCAAATTATACCATTCCTTCGAATAAAAAATTGAAAGAAGACGTAATTTTCTATTAAATGAGCAAAAGAATGAATATTTTTGTGCATGTTTTCTATGAAATAAAATGGAATCTTTAAAGGAGTCGAAACTCAATGAAAAAATGCATGCTAATTAAGTAGTCATTTTGTACGGAATATGGTCTTTAGATGCACCCGAAAAAAGTTTTTTCAAAAGCTGGCCTCCTGCAGCAATTGATTTATTTTCGAAGTATGCTGAACGATAATTGGTTTTACAACCCTACTTAATGAAGCATTTCGAAACGAAAACGCATTTCAGAACTTCTGTTGAGATTTCATGAGCTAGCCCACTTACTGTATGTACAGATGGTCAAGTGTATGACTTGTTTTGAAAGTATTTATCTTGGTAGATCAAAAAGCACGAAGGATTTGTTAACAGAAGTGAAGAGGCGAGCTTCAGAAAGTATACAAGGAGAATAAGACAAAATCGCTGGAACAAGTGCTTTATTAGCCTGACGTTTCGGGTTCTCACTCGAATCCATCATCAGAGACAGAGTCCCAAAGGGTAATGGATTACCCAGATGTTGCAATATTTATAGGATTTAATTGCTAGGCCGCTACATGCCTACCACAGTTGGCAGCTCCCGAGTTCATCACAGCTCGACTGGCCAGGCGATGAATTATGCGGTTGTTATGCGCTTGTGTGCTAGTCAAAATTATCGGCTCCCACGCTGATCACACGCAGACGAGTTGCTGACTGTCGGATTTCGTCATCTGTGTGGACTCTTGGACAATTTGGCTCGCCGAAATTGAACCAGGAACAGTGTTCGTCTGCCCGCTTTCCTAGGGGTTTACTACTTTGACCAGGTAAAGTCTCAGCACCGAATATGGAGAGGGAAGTTCATTGCGTTCGTTGATTGATTGATGACCGAAAACCAGGACTCGAGCAGTTCACGCCTCACGCGGTTGTAGCCTCTAGCAAGAATTTCTGTTTCGTGAAACTTGGATATGTGGTTGGGCCGCGACTTGGGATTTGGCGTCGTTCCTCCTCACTGCTGCCGCGTGCTCGGCAAACCGCGTCCGGTTTAGTCTTCCGGTTTCTCCGACATAGTTGCTTTGCCCACAACTGCACCGGATCCGGTTAACAATTCCAGATGTTTCCCGTCGTAGTAGTGGGTCTTTCGACCTCATAATCTGGCGCCTTATGGTTGCCTCCGGTGTGTGTGTGTGGCAGTTGCCAACTGTGATAGGCATATAGTGACCTAGAAACTACATCCTATAAATATTGAAACACCTGGACCATCCACCACCTTTATCTGACTCTGTCTCTGATGATGGATTCGAGTGAGAATCCGAAACGTCAGGCTAATAAAGCACTTGCTCCAGCGATCGTGTCTCCTGTTCTGCGACACGGAGGTGTCTATACGACTATACCGAAAAGGACATATGTAAACTGAGACCAGATTTGTGTGAGTCTTCCAGCCCCGAATTTCCTACAAAAGTCGATTAAAGCAAAGACGGATCTTTCGTTTCTGCTTGGCTATTATACTATTTCTGGTCAGGAGGCGGCCGGGATGGAGGACGCGCTTTACGTGTGTTCTCAAGGTCGTATCTGGCGGCATGTTTAACACTCGGTGCGGTGGGTGCCTGTTGTATAAATTTTTCGAGTGGAGGTCAATGAGGAAGGGGTAGAGGGGTGGGTAGGCGGGAGGCGGAGGAGGACTTTGGAAGTGTTAGTTTTTAAATTGTCGCACTCAGAGCATAGCAGGCACCAAGGCTCCAGGGATCAGGGTGCAGAGACATGCGGCCAAACAGTCCCGAGCCCCAGCCACTGAGGTCAATAAGGGGGAAGATGGCTGCATGCCAATTCGGTCAAATTTTGAATAACTTAGCGCACATTGTCTGAAAATGAATGAAAGTCATGCCAGACTTAGACAAGTTAGCTAGTCCCCAGATATTTGGTAGGGTTGCTTTGGTGATTCGCCCTCCCCCGGCTTCTTGTGGACACACCCAATCAGAAGAAGCTTCGCGAAACCCACCTGGACGTTTGGACACCAAATTACCGTGCGACATTTATATAGGTGTCAGTCTGGTCTAATAAGAAGTGACTATGACCTTCAGTGTAGTAGTAAAGTCAAACGTGCAGTTTTTTGCGCCAATAAACGAAGGTTAGAGTGAAACGTAACTTCTGTAGAATTCCTTGTCAGACGAGTGACGCGTATAAACCAAAACAGATTTCGATGTATATACGGTACTATTGATAGAATAAGGTAATAATGCAAAAGGTACAAACCTTAACAATGGATACCCTAGACAAAGAATTCTTTTGTTACTGTTCGAGCAAATCGAATTCCCAGCTCAAGGTCAGAATACAAAAACTAGTTAATTAAAAGCACGCCGATCACGCTCGAAAGAGGGTTACAAAAAGGTGGAAGGGGAATGTCAACAGGGGCAAAATGTGGAAGCACTTTCGAGGAAGGCGTGGAGAATTCCAAGCGTTGACCAGCTGGATACAACAACCCCAATCTCCTGAAGTAGACCCCCAGATCTCACTATATCCCGTGAACGCAGCAACATTCGACACCACTCCGAGGCCGTTGTTTAATGTTGCTCAGGATGTTTATAAGAACGGTACCTACAGAACCAACCCCAGCCCCATATTAGTCTGCGCACTTACAAACTGGGCACTTCCTATTAAACGTTGAATCGTTTGTGAACTGAATCTTGGCCATATGATTAAACTCTCTACTATATAGTAGATGTAAAACCCTATAATTTGCCGTACAAACTTACTACGTCTTATTTTTCTGCGGTTTTACGGCGTACGCTGCCACCGAGGAAATAAATAAGGTAAGCGCACTTTTGGACGTATCGTTTTTGTGGCAGACAGTCAAGTGTCGGCAGAACCATTGAATTCCAAGGAAATGAACATTATGAACAGATGCAATTTTAGAAGTATCACTTGTGATGTCCATAGACGAATATAACATCTACCCAACGAAAGTAAATGACAATCATACAAGCGTGGATTTCACAGGGGGAAGGGGTTGGTGGTTATACTTCAGCCTTGTCTAAACTAATGAGCAAATGCTTTGAGATTAAAGAAAAGGAACAGGCAAACTGCACGAGTGACGAGAATTACCCTCTAGGAGAGGGCAAGTTTATTAGCATCTAGTTAGAATATCCGGTGGCTCGTTCAGCATGCTTAACCGGAACCGTCGCCATCTGGCACAACGGCATCTCGAAGCAAACAAGTTTCGTATGGATGATAGGGGTCACGAACAGGCAACCACCTACTAGGCCGAAGTCGGTCAAGCTATGATGGCAGAGGGGAGACAACAGAGTCTGGGGGATAGCACTGTTTCGGGCTTGTTTGCCTTCATTCAGCCAATCGTAACCCTGACCAGCTACTGTGGTTTAGCCAGTTTGAATTTGCCTTTAAGGATTTTGTATGTGGCATTTAGATCGATATGCCGAATAATGCGTGCCTCATCTGAGCATATTGCTTCCAGGAATTCGCGGCCCTCATTGAGCAGGAGTCAACAATGCGAGTGTTCTCCCATGCAAATTGGTGTCCAATGTGTGCATAGCAACCTGGGATATATGGCTGCGTCTCTTCACCGCTAACTGATGTTTGTTTATACGGGTTGGGACGGATTTTCCAGTTTGGCCATAATAGACGGCATTGCAGCTGGAACACGGGATTTTGTAGACAACACCTTTTCTTTCGAGGGAGCCAACCCTGTCCTTAGGGTGCACAAGCTGTGTGCGTAAGGTAGTTGCCGGTTGGTGTGCTACATGTATCTGATGTTTTTTAGTTTTCTTTCGACTAGTTCAGATGCATTTTTCACACATGGAGAGTTCGCCAGATGGTTAGTTTTGGTGTCCGAGTGGCCGTAGCATTTAAAATACCTTTTTCCTTGAATTGCTGGTGCTCACGCATTGACGTATAAAGTCATTCGGGTGCCCATTTTGGGAAAATAGTTTGTAGGAGTATTTCTCTCATGCTTGATAATTTGTTTCGTCAGAGCAATGAGTTTGCGCTCGATTTAAAAGGCTGTAGACTGTACTTTGTCTGTGAGAGACAGCGTGGTTACTCTCAAAATGTAGGATGACCTCTGACTATGCCTCTTTGCGATAAACTGATGTGTGGAGTGATCCATCAATTTTTCGACGTACAAGGACATTCGGGTCGCAAATCTATCAGGTTACGTATAGAGCGTTGAATTGTACTTACCGTTCACTGTCCAAAGAACGTGGGTTCGGACCCGGGTTCCCCATATTTTGAGGTTGCGTATTACTGGTTGGCGACAACTGATAAGCCAGAAATGGTCATTCCACTTCCCTTTGTGTCTGTCTGCGCCGCTTTCCCTCTGGGAAAGATTCTGTGCTGTGGTATGTTATTACCGACAAAGACAAGGGAGACTGGAATGGCCATTTCTGGCTTATTAGCCGTCGTCAGCCAGTCATACCCAACCCCGAAGTGTGGGACACTCGAGGCTCGAACTCGCAACCTGTTTGTTAGAAGTCCACGCCTCTAACCACTGGACCACGAGCCGTTGCCATGTCGGTCTTCGATCGGGAATATACAACGGTAGGGGGTGCTCACCGATCGTTCTTACGGAACTCACTCGTTCGAGCCTCGGCTGTTCCACACTTTGGGGTTGGATATGACTGGCTGACGACGGCTAACAAGTCAGAAGTTACCATTCCAGTCTCCCTTATCTTTGTCGGTAATGCCATTCTGTCTATATCATGCGCCGCTGTGCGGCTGCTGGTTGGGCCCGAAAGAGAGCCCGTAAGGCAAAACGGAACGAGTGAGTTCCATAAAAACGATCTGTGAGCGCCCCCTACCATTCTGTACTGTGTAAATTTTCTACATTTATCCCCAGTGTTTTCTTCACACGCAAAGCAAATGTACCAAAACTGCTGGCATTGTAGGTGCAATTGGTTAGTTGTTTGAATCGTTTTCTTGAAATGGGTGCCTTAGAGATTTTTCATAAGAAAGCGAGCGTCGGAAAGAAAGCAAATAGGTCGTTCTGGTCAGGGCTTCGAAGCAAATACGTGGCGAACTCTCTCTATTACACTAAGAATTTGAATGAACTCGCTGGAGGGCACCTGAGGAGATACCAGATATAGGTGGCACACAAACCACTTACACACTTAGCTGGCACACCCTAATGGTAGGGTTGGCTACCTGAATAGGAGGGAAATAGTATACAGTATCCTATGTGAGAACTGCGATACAGTTTACTATGGTCACACTGGAAGATCTGCCTCTACACGTATTCACGAACACCAGTTGGCAGTAAAGAGGTGAGACCACCTGCCCTAATTGACCATGCCTACCGGGCGCATCTTCGTTTGGGACAAAACTTGCATCGTCGCTGTCTGTCCTTTCAAGAATGGCCGAGAGTTTCCGGGGGGGGGGGCATGTACTGGGATAAATCATGCCTCAGCCGGCATATCGCGTTGGGTGCTGCGTACAAAAATCACAAGGAGAAACGGGAGAGGCGAGGGCCAGTCAGAACAGGGTGATGCACAGGGCGGCCGCACACAAACACCAAGCGAGTGTCGATTTTTTAAAGTGCACTTTCAATGCAAACTGTTTTTTGGCGCATTTGCTCTGTGCATGACCACGACCTGGGAAAGCGGCGTCGAAAATTCATACGATAAAGTTCCTTTTCCCAGTGAACAGAGTTGACTTCAACTTATATTACTTGGGGTGCCTACCGTCCAAAAATACGCATTTAACGCTGAATGAGTGTCTTTGTCCTTTTCTGACTGACTCTTGATTGGGATTGCAAGATGAAACTCGACGCCCCTATTCTGTCTTATAATTTAGTCGAATTGACGAATGTCACTCTCATACGGATGTGACTAGCCCCGATCGCAGTCGACAGAAGTTAGGTCTGGGACTCAAACTTCACAACTAACTGAATTTCGGTTCAAACTTTGTGCTCTTTCGGCCGGCGTTTGGGCATGCCTTACCGACGGTGGCAAACAGACCATCAATGACCTCTCAGATCTACCTTGTCTCTTCTGGTTATATTCACCGAATTTCGTGACCTCAAGTTTCATATCATCCTCAAGGGCGGAACTAAGAAAGGCCTCATTAATTTCACCTACACTTTAACTAGGCTTGTTTCGAATATGATTTTTACTGACGGACTAGATACTAGGATCAGCATGCAAGAGGTCATGTTGAGAAGGCTGCCATGCCTTGAGCTTGCAGCTGACGCTTTGAAAATTCACTCACATTAATAACAGGGGCATACCTTAGTTTCATGTATGTAAAAAGTAGACAACATCTGGGCATCTCTGAAAAGCGTATTTACTGAATTCCTCGACTGGCAAACATGCCATTGATATAACCACAAAGTGCTCTTAAAAACGTTTCTGTTAGGTCAAAATAATTGATCAGTTTAAGCAATGGCAAAATTGCCTGAACCAAAATTCTTGCAGTTATTTTGTAATAGATCACATACCTGAGTCAGAGAAATTTCAACAACGCGGTCGAATGTCACCGAGTAGCGGGCATTTCGACTCAAATGGGATAATTAGCAACCGTAGGGGGAAGGACCCCATTTAGCTGTCAGTAGGCTGTGGATCGTGCTATATAGGGTTTTATTTTGGAATCCATTTGCAGGCCGGTGCGGGCATTACACTGCCAACAACAATTGCTCCCCAAACCTCAAACAATTACTCAAATTCCGTTATTTTTTGTAAATTTGCCTTGTGTTTATTTTTCAATTAACGCGCTCATTTCCCTGCCATATGACGACGTACGATAGGACTTTCGGCAGAAATCTCAACAATTTCTGTGTTTTCTTGCATTTCCTCGGTCTACTGTTTGGCGTGTTGTCTTACCCGTAAAATCCCCACTACCATCATTCACGTTTGACACGATCCACAGTCTGTCGAGATTTAAGTGGGGTTCATCACCGGACCGTTGCCCACCGGCGATTTCAGTTCAGATGCATATCGGTGGCTTTGGTACCTTTAGGACAGTGGTCACTACTACCTGTTAGTAAAGTTGGAAATTTGTTTGTTTTCATTTTTTCGTATGAACTAGGACCTCCAATTCCATAAAGCACAAGGCCACTTCTTTAAGAGCCGGCACGCTTTCAAAGTTAAATGAATAAAACTACGCTTATGACAGGACAGCCGTCGGGGGCACATTTTTGGGTAGAGTCAATTTTCTACATGCCGAACTGTTTGCCTACTAGCGCAGAAAGGGTTGTCAAGCTCAGATAACTGATGAAAACTGGTAATTATCATACAAGTCACTGAAATATGATTTTTTGAGAAAACGCATCCAGGGTGGCTGGGTAAGGCCAGTACGGCCAACTGCATAAATAAAGTCAAGATGCCATGCCACGATTTGAACTCGACATGCGTGAGCTTTTTGGTTCGACTTGTAATCCACTTCGATCGCTGAGAAACTTTGTCGGTCACGGGAATACGGACCTCCCCCCCCTCAGTACTATAGGTGACCTTGTGTTTAATTCCAGTGATTCTGATTCTCGTGTCCTACCTTTAACCTTAACTCCAACATTCAATTCACATAAAATCTCCCATCGACATAAACGAATTCAGAGCCCTGAACGGGGAATTTTTCGCCGATTAGCGACAACCAAAAATCTGAGACAAATAGTGTCCAGAGGCTAAGGGCGCAGATTATGGGTGCAAATCAAAAAACTGACGAATATTTTCTTGTATTTCCAACATTTCTAACATTCTTTTATTTTCTGAAATTTGCATTTTGTTTATATTTTACCTAACGCGCTCATTTTCGCTGCCACACGAAAGCGTGTGAGAAGGCATTCGGTAGAAATCTAAACAATTTCTGCATTTTCTTGCACTTCGACAGCTTACTGTCTGACCTGCTGCCCCACCCGTAAAACCCCTATTACCCCCATCCCCGTATGACGCGATCCACGGTCTACCGACAGTCAAGTGGGGGCTTTCACTCTACTGTTGCCTACTTTATTGCCTGTGACATTTCCTCATCGACTTAGAGGGACCAAGACAGAGAGTCCCATGACCTAAAACCATTACTCAAATTCAGTTATTTTCGGTAAACTTGCTTTGTGTTTATTTTTCACTTAACGCGCTCATTTCCGCTGCCATATGAAGACGTACAATAGGACTTTCGGCAGAAATCTCAACAATTTCTGTGTTTTCTTGCATTTCGTCGGCCTACTGTTTGGCGTGTTGTCATACCCGTCAAATCCCCGCTACCATCATTCACGTTTGACACGATCCACAGACTGTCGAGATTTAAGTGTGGTTCATCACCCGACCGTTGCCGGATACTTCATCGGTCAGTCCTTGCTCGACCCAGTTATAAGCCTGCTTTTCTCACGAGGAGCTAGAGAGATCGAATGCAGGTCGCCAACTTGAGTTGTGACTGTAAGTAATCAAGGGAACCACCACAGAAACGTCTTTCATCCAGACTTTACCGATGTAAGGCAGCTGTTGGAGGGTGTTCTGACGATGTTTGGTCCTGCAGCCCCACCTGAATGAGACTCATACGACTAGCTTTCTAAAACAAATTTGTAGAAGGGAATATGCTGACTTCACATATATCCTGTATTTGCATTTTCCTTACCATTATAATCTGGCGAGTGACTGTGCCACTGGGGTAGGAGTGCTTATACGCCAGTCCCGGTTACTTCCGGTATCAGTTCACACGTGCTTCCCTGCGCGTGCATCGAGCCCTGCTTGCGCCCTCTATATCATCTCAATCTAGCGAGCGGCTAAGTAGAATTGCTAATGGAATTGTTTGGGGGAGGGAGTGTGGAAACCCGTCGGTTCCACTTCCGTGGCCATGCACTGTGAACTACCCCGCGGTTCCCTCCCGTGGCCCTCCAGTTGTGATTGCGCCATCCTCATCTTACTAATCCAGCCAGTGGCTGTCGGGGGAAAGCGTGTACATGCCACCTTCACTGGCTTCCTCTGCGCGTGTTTAGGGCTGTGCTTGCGCTCTCTTTCCCTTCCTAATCCAGTGAGTAGCTAATTTAGGTATGCTATCTAATATTGTTTTAGTAAGCTAACCATACGGTATCAATCAGGTGGGGCTGCAGAACCAAACCTCGCCAGTGTTCCTTACACCTACTTGACATGCTTATATACCTAACTTCATAAGGCCTATGACGTACTGATGATCGGTAATGACCGTGAAACAGCTGTTTGCGCCTGGCCTGTTGCACTCTTAATGAGCTGCCTATGTATTATATGTGGTTGTGTCCTATGACACAGTATTCGCTGTCGCCAGTAGCAAGCTGACGGGCGGACAGAATGGGATCGAGTGAGATCCTAACCACAACAGTGAGTGTCAAACGCCTATGTAGTTCAGAAAATGTAGGAAATGCGGTTCAAAGCGCACCTAGTGAATGTTGCTCACTGCGGATTTATCTCACGAGGAGGACAGCCAGCCTAAAACATCGGTTAATTTTTTTGAAAATAAATAAATTTCCACAGGCGGCAAAAGTAATCTCCTTTGCACCCTATTTTTGAAGCAGCTCCGCCAAACATGTTGTTACTTATTTTGAGCAAATATTCGGCTTTTGTCGAAAGCACATTTTATAAGTCGACCAACCCTTCTAAACTTGTCACAGATTCTTTTTTTTCAGAGCAAGGGCACTTGCTATGTCAACAGTGTTTTAGAATATGCAAAGTCCGACGGGAACGGCGTTAGTTGATTTGACCTGACTTCACGGTGATATACGGATGCTGCAGTCTATCCTGACAGGGAGGGGGGGGGGTAGGTTAATTTCGGAGGATATCAGACTGCGACGAAAAATTGATTTAACATGACTACTTCCAGTTTCCCCTACCCTCGTCAGTAATCATTGTTGGCTAGATTCATTTTCCAAAACCACACCCATCGATTTCGGCCCGCCACCTGAACGTACTCAGCGACCCTACACATCTCAGAGCTCCACCAATCACGTGCTCGCGCAGTGCGTCTGAGCAAAGGCACTTCGTTACAAGAAGGCTTGGGTCCACGCACATGCAACTCCCCGGCTTACAGTACAGTTTCTTGCAAACTGTCAGCGCGTTCCCGCTTCCTGTCAGCCAACTTGTCATTACGGTCCAGGCAGCCATAAACAAAACCGATTCACACCAGCGTCAGCAGTGAACCCAACGGCATTGGCCGGTGCCAAATAAATTTCGCCTGTCACACAACTGGTCATACGTGCGCACACGCGCGCGCGCGCTCAGCTACCGACCCTCCCCCCGCGGAAACTGCTAGCCGGGGGCTTTTACTCAACCGCCGGTGGACCGAACGCACACACAAGGAAGAGCAGCCAAATACGTGCCCTCGTTTGTCTAAATTGTATTATTCCAGCAGAAGCATTGCAGTGAGTGACCGATCTCATGACGTGTTAACTGAAATTCTGAAATGGGTTTTCGATTCGAAAGGATTACTTGGGTAGGGGAGGCGGTTGTGATACTGATTATCACACGACATAATCCCACATTATCTCGAACTCGCCAGGGTGTTGGGTTTTGAATGCACTTCTTTTCGACCTCCTGTTGAAGTCGCACTCGGTAGAAATGACTACTTAAGTAGTATGCCCCCACACTGATATTCCGTGTTCCTACAGTGCGTGACCTATCTCATGAAATGTTGGCTGAAATTCTGAAATGCGTTTTCGAGTAGGAAAGATTACTTGGTCGCGGTTGTAATACTGACTATCTTGCGGCATACTCTTATAACATTTCGGACTTGGCAGGATGTCGGCTTTTCAATGCACTTCTTTTCAATCTCCTGTAGAAAGCGTACTTCGTAAAAAATGACTACTTAAGTAGCATGCATTTTTCCCATTGATTTTCGATGGTTTTGCAAATTCAAATATATTTTATAGAAACCATAAATAAAAATATGCTTTCTTTTAGGCAATCACTAAAGAATCATATCTTCTTTATATTTTATACTTAAGAAAGAATTATAATCAGGTTTTAAAAAAGTTTCTAATTATGAGACTTTTTAAGATCGCGAAATGTCCATTCACATAGCATCGTACCTGGACGTTTACCACTGCTTCTCATGAAATGTACAACATGGTCCGCATCCATTGCAAAATTTTATGGACCCTGTATGATATCTCTTTAATGACATAGAAGAATATGGGATTTTCTTTACGCGGAACGCATGCACCTTGTAGAGTGTAATCAATAAGCGCTAACGCAACGAATGATCAGGCTCCAAATTTTTCGGCAATTAGAAAACTTTTTTAAAACCTTACTATACTCCTTCCTTAAGTATAAAGCATAAAGTAGACGTGATTCTCTATTGATTGACTAAAAGAAAACATATTTTTGTTTGTGGTTTCTATAAAATATATTTGAATTTGCAAGACCATCGAAAATCAATGGGAAAAATGCATGCTACTTAAGTAGTCATTTTTTACGAAGTACGCTTTCTACAGGAGATTGAAAAGAAGTGCATTGAAAAGCCGACATCCTGCCAAGTCCGAATTGTTATAAGAGTATGCCGCAAGATAGTCAGTATTACAACCGTGACCAAGTAACCCTTCCTAATCGAAAATGCATTTCAGAATTTCAGCTAACATTTCATGAGATAGGTCATTCACACAAGATTGTATATTGAGGCTAACCGCCAGTCTATACGTGCGTAGACTAGTTGTTTGATCGACTCAAGAAACATTTTGGGGTCAGGCCATGATTCCGTCAACAGTAGTGGATTAAAAGCCAACTGACGAAGGCCCAGACAGAACCATTTTGAGTCCATGTGAATTCCTGGCTACAAGAAACACATCGGAAAGTAGGCAAAGAGGACACGACAGTTCAACCGTCGCATCCGACGATGTCCACCGTATGCTCCACAGCAGGGTGGGAGCAGGGACGGTGACTTACGCAGGATTTATAGTGAGAGTAGACCTGCGCTGCATCTACCGCACTCTCTCCTCCTTCCCCACCTGAGGCCGGCGTCAAGACAGAGTCAAGAAGACCGGAGATGGGGGGACAACGCTCATCAAAACAACGCTCATCAGAAGAGACTTATTTGGTCTCTGACCCTTCCAACAGCAAATTCGTCTTTTCTTCATAGGTGGCAGGTAGGTCGGAGTGGTGGCGCACAACCAAGTAAGCAGGGGGTAAGTGAATTTGGCGATTAACTGAGCGAGTTTCTGACAGTTACACATCTGACTCAGTGGCTATTGTCTTTGTCCACGACCTCGAATGCATCTAGGTTGCAATCGCGGCCAACTTTGGCGACAAGGATCCCACCTGCGACTTTGAGTGTGACCCCTGAAGCTCCAGCTGGTGCCTGAGCTTCAGCTGTGGGCCGGTTTGCCAAACTTCCTCGGGTAACTATCGGGAGATGGCCCCAAAAAATCCGCCCAACCAAAGCAGCCTGTCTTACGGGCCTACGGCTATCGTTTCACAACTGTCCATATGTATGGGGCCATAGATTGAGCCGCATACCTACAACCGAAGGAACTACTTGCTTTCTTCATAGCTCGTTTGCATCTGTTTGGTGAAGGGGATTTCATGCGTCTTTGCGATAGGAACAATCGGGCTCCCAGACTCCATTCGGTAAGTAGTTCCATCGAAAACGAGAATGCGGAAGAAGGTGGTTCGGGCCAACGAGAGATAAAACACTCAGTGCGTGACGAATGACTAATCCACAGTCGGCACTGGCAGCATACACGATCAGTCTGGAGACACCTTGGACTCGCGGACTGTGCATTGGCTTCGCATGTCTTCGACTACGGACAAGCGAACCTGCCGTTTGCCAGGCCATCTGCTAATCACATCCTATTTTACTGATCCACTGCGAATGGGATATGCGTCAATGCTTTAAAGCACATTCCGGTTTTCCCCCTGTGCATTTTTCATTTCAGTTGTACCCATCCCCCTATCCTTACAGCTGGCAGAACTCGATTCGTCATGCGCTCTCCTTCAATGACTGTTTCACCCGGGTTCCACGACCCTCCGGAGAGACCGGCAAAGGCTCCTACTGGACCCTTCATTCAGGTGCCCTGAGCATGTTTGAGAACGGTTCCTCAATTCGACGCAATCGGAAGTTTGTGGACGAGAGTCGTGTACGTAGGACGTCCGGTGCCGGAGTATTACGCAGTTCTGCCGGTGGGAAGGCTCCGACTCCCGTAGCCGAGGGAACTGCGTTTAACGAGTTGGCAGCAATCTCCAAGGTCGACCTCGAAGACGCGATTGAAGCCAGTGGACATACCTTCTCCCGCACAGAGTGGGTGAATGTTCTTTAAATTCAGATTATGGACGCTTTTGCGTAATAAATCCCAATTTATGTATATACATGTGCAGAGAGGCGGAAGCTTGTGGAAAACCAAAACTGGATTCGTGAATTTCCTCACCAAAATGTCATCTGGAGCATTTTTATAGCTTGTGTTTAACAGTGGATGTGGCTCGATGAGGGGTTGACCACACACTATTTTAGTGGAACGCTCAGACCTTGGATTCTTAGAAATCCATCGCAGCAAGATGTAAAAAAGTCTGTAGGGACAGTCTGGACGATGGTATATGGATTAAATTCCCAATAGAAGCAAGGAGACGAGTCCCACGAAGCAGTCTTGAGGAAGGAGACACGATCGCTGGGACAAGAGCTCTAGTAGCCTGACGTTTCGGATTCCTGCTCGAACCCATCATCAGAGACAAAGGTAGATACGGGCCCTACAGTCTACTGACGTCCAAACGACACGTAATAAGCGCATATGAGTAGACGCATAACTTCGTTAACGACGGTCAGACTAAGATGCCCTTAATTTTCATCATCACCTGGATATTATACAAATGCAGTAACACATATTCCGCCCACCGCAGTGCAAGTGGAACAGATGCGGTCCTAAACTGACTTTTTCAGAGCACCGTATGTCGTCTCTTGTATAAGTGACGGCGTGACCGTCGCTACCGACGATGTTCGCCGTGTGCTCCACAGCAGGGTAAGAGCACTGATGGTGACTGCCGCGTGAATTCTTTTGTAGTGACAGTAGACTTACTCAGCATCTATCGCACTCTCCCCCTACTCTGCCCCGGTGTCATAACGGAGTCAAAAAGACTGGCGGAGGGAGAGGGCGCAGGCGGCTGGCCAGGCGAAAACCCGCACCTAGGCGTACCACCACACGCCCGTGGCCTGCAACGTATACTGACCAGGATTTTATACAAAAGGAGAGCCGCTCAGATTCTAACTGTCGCGGTCTGGGTCTGCACCTTGGCGTGCCACAACACCCCTCATAGTTGGCATTCGTTATGATTACAAACTACCCAATAACACCTGCCAGAGCCTGACCTAGCTCTCAGCGTTAGTCAAGCGCATCTACCGCGTGACCCGTTTTCGGGGTACTTCTAACGCACACGAATGCGCCAGTTTTCGAGCCCAAATACTTCAAGGTCCCGTTTGACCACCGGGAAATGGCTGTCTATCAAACACATTTCGTAAAGGAATGGGCCATCTATCGGAGATGAACTTCATGCTTACTGCATCGGCGTTGAATTTCTTATCAAAACTCCCGAAAATCAGGCACCCCCATGTCATACACATTGCAGTGTTTTTAGACTTTACGAATTGAGTAAACCGTTCCATGCCCTTGAGCATTTTCTGTCGGCTGTTTATGTAGGCCTGAAAAAAAAATAAGGAATTAAGAGGGAAAGAACCGTGGCAACATAAGGGATGTGAGAATACACCGACTCAAGTACCGCCTTCTTTTGGTCGTGTAAGTTAAATATCCGCATATCTTGTATAACACCTCCTACAAACACGCATCGCAGAGCATCCAAAATAGACGTTGCATACATAACGGTTCGACCGACGCCGGCGTCGAGGTCAATCACGTGGCCCACCCACTAGGAGTAGCGGCGAATTGCGTGGGAATTAGTTTGTATCTGGGCAGAACTGCATAACATTCACCTCACACAACCCCTCTCACATCTCCTTACCCACCTTGTTCGGACGGCAAGACAGAGTCGAGAAAACCGTCTACGCGAACCACGCACGATACACGGCAGGAAAAAGGGGGACGGCTCGGATCTCACGGATCAGGAATGCCGTAGAGGCCACATTAAGAAGGAGTCATTGCAGCCAGTCTCTCGCTCCACCTATCGATCACTCCAAACAAACACGCTGGGCGAACTGCAAGGTCCCAGTTATCTGGTCAGTTGGCAACCTCCTAAGCTACAGCCTGTTGCGTACCGTGGTACACAGAGAGTCGAGCGCCTCAGATTGTTTACAGTGAAGAATATACGCCGAGATAATCGATCTCACTCTGTAGAACCAGGGCTTTGTCAGCTTGATGTTTCGGATTCTCACTCGAATTCATCATCAGAGACAGAGTTAGATAAGGGTAGTGGTTTGCTCAGGTGTTGCAATATTTATTGGATGTAATTGCTAGGCCGCTACATGCATATCATAGTTGGCATCTCCCGAGTTCATCACAGCTCGACTGGCTAGGTGATGAAGTACGCGGTTGTTATGCTCTTGTGTGCTGGTCGAGATTATCGACTCCCACGCTCGTCGCACGCAGTCGAGTTGCTGACTGTCGGATTTCGTCATTTGTGTGGGCTCTTGGACAATCTGGTTAGTCGAAATTGATACCAGGAATAGTGGTCATCTGCCCGCTCTCTTAGCGGTTTACTACTTTGACTAGGCAAAGTCTCAGCGCCGAATATGGAGCGGGGTCGTTGCGTTCGTTGATTGATTGAGGACCGGAAAACCATGACTCGAGCAGTTCGCGCCTCACGCCAACTGTGATAGGCATGTAGCGATCTAGCAACTACATCCTGTAAATACAACAACACATGGGCAATCCACTACCCTTTTCTGACTCTGTCTCTGATGCTGGATTCGAGTGAGAATGCGAAGCTTCAGGCTAATAAAAATCTTGTTGCAGCGAAGGCGTCTCCTTGTTCGGGACTGCTTCCTGGAACTCGTCTCTGTGCTTATACGTGCTCACTCTATCATCCCACTTCAAGGCACCATTCCATTGTCAGTTGTCTGATGCAGGAAGTGGAGGCAGTGGCTGACAGAGTTAGAGCACTCGTCTGCGCGCGTCACATTCACGACCCGTCTCTGTAAACGCACGCACACACACACGCAAGTGGGATCGGCCCAGATCTCACATGTGTGAGACAGTCCCATTAAGAAGGAGCCATCGTAATCGGACTCTCAGTCAACCATTCGGCCACTCAACTCACAAATATACAACTGGGCTGACCGCGTCGTCTAAATTAATGCGGCACACGGAAACCTTCCAAGTCATAGCTCTAATTGCACGGTGATGGTCTCGGGCACGTCAGTCTGCTTGTAGTGAGGAATTATGCGCTGGAACCGGCGAGGTCACTCACTCAACCCTATCCCTTGCACCAGTCGATTGTCCGAGCCGGTCAACCAACTGATGCTGCGATGGACAGCTGAGGACAGCTCGTCTGCGCGTGCCACACGCACGATCTGTCTCTTCATACGTACAGCAGGGGGACGGTGAGAGCGGGGACGGCGGCCTGTGCGTAAATTTAGTTTATAGTGACAGAGGACTTGCGCAGCACGTATCGCACTCCAGCCTCCGTCCCCACGATGGCCAGGTTTCAAGACAGAGTCAAGAAGACCGGAGGCGGGGGAGGGCGCAGGTGGGTTGCACGGTCGAGCCCGTACCTTGGCGCTCCACTCCACACCCCGGTCCACACAGAAAATGACCAGGTTTTTGACGAGCAACGACAAGGGGGGGACGGTGGCAGGGGTCTCAGTGTGCGCGACGTACGCCGACAACGGGGTCTGCCACCGCACCCCGAAATGTTGGCAGTTCTTATGGTGCGCAATCCGATAACGCATGCCAGAATCCGATATGGCCCCGTGTTGGTCCAGCGCATCTACCATGTTGCCCGTTTGTGGGACTCATCTGTTAAAAAGATCAGAGGCGAGATCGAACGCAGGTGGCTGGCGAGGCGTGAGCCGCAATTAAGCGTGCCACCACACCTCTGCGCTGCAAAAAGGCGCCAGAACTTCACACAACAAAACGAACGAGCTGTCTCGAATCCAAACTGACTGGGAGTGCCATAAAGGTCTCATCAAGGAGCTATTGCGGTCTGAATCTCAGTCCACGAACAAACGCATACTGCGCTGACGGCGTGATCTGAGCTGAATCGCCAGCTGGAAACCTTCCAAGCCACGGTTTTTAGCTCACAGTGATAGGTTCAAGCGCGTCAAAGTGTGCATAATGGGGTTTTATGCGCTGAGACTGTCGACCTCACTCACTCTACCCTTCCCGTAGACCAGTCGACTGTCGATCCGGTCAAACAAATGGTGCTGAGATTGGCAGAGGTCTTGAAGAAGGAGACACAATCGCCGGGACAAGAGCTTTATTAGCCTGACGTTTCGGATTCCTACTCGAATCCATCATCAGAGACAAAAAAGCAGAAACGGGTGGTTGCTGCACAAGGGGCTGCGGTATTTATAGGATGC